TCTGTGAAACAGGCAGGGAAGTCTTTACCGGAACCACGTTTGGACCCTCACTTGAAGAAACCATTTGTAAGATGCCATTTCTGAGACAGGGGGAAATTTGAGTATTAGATGACATCAAAGAACTGTTGAAATGCGTTTTTTAAAAAAATGCTTCTGGGGGCGGCTGGGGGGCTCAGGTGGTTAAGCGACCAACTCTCAATTTTGGCTCAGGTCACGGTCTCATGGTCGTGAGATTGAGCCCCATGTTAGGCTCCGTGCTGAGCAAGGAGCCTGATTAAGACTCTCTCTCCGTCTTCCTCTTTCACAGTCTCATTCTCTAAAATAAAATAAAAATAAAAAAAAAATGTTTCTGTTAAATGCGACAAGGTATTATGGTTATGTAAGAAAATGTACATATTTTTATTTCTTTTTTTTTTTTAAGTTTATTTTGAGAGCGAGAGAACATGAGCAGGGAAAGGGCAGAGAGGAGAGAGAGAATTTCAAGCAGGCTTTGCACCACCAACTCATAAACCGTGAGATCGTGACCTTGAACCAGAGTCAAGAGTCGGACGCTTAACCGACTGAGCCACCAGGTGCCCCGTAAACGTACATATTTTTACAAGATGCCCATCAAAGAATGTAGGGGTGAGCTGACATGTTTTGGGATTTGTTTTAATTCGGAAAAGAGGAAAAAGCCAAAAGGGGTGGATGAGGCAATCGCTGAGGATGGGCTTTACTGTTCTCTTGTGCCTGTTTGAAATTCCTTATGCCACGATCTTGAATATACGGGAAAAATGTGTCTGCGTGGGAACCTGCCATGAAACAGGTGGTCAGTTCCTTATGCCACCTCCACCAACACTACAAATGCCACTTTCCTCCTCCGTGAGGTTGCCCCCTCAGCTTCCATGGACAGTCGGGAGGATGACATCATCCGGTTCCTAAATCCAAGCTGGTTAGCACTAGAATCGCCCAGAAGGATCGGGAGGGAGCCTTCAGCATCAAGGGGGTAAGAGCGTGAGGTCTCCTCTTTGGGTACCGCCCAAGCAGCTCACCCGGGCCGCGGCCGCCCTCAGAAGTCACCTATCTGGTTGGCAGGTTCCCTGTGCGGCTCGGAGACCAGCGCCTCCGCTGACGGGACCGCCCCAGGGTTCAGTTCCCACTGGGGCGGAACCCGCAGAACACCTGCGAGTTTCCATTACTCGCAGTAAATTCCACGGTAATTTACTAAATTAATAAATCGCAGGAAATCCATGCTTATTAGTAAGACGTTACTTGTGACACCGCTCTCAACAGGCTGTCCCCATATAGTTTTCCAAACTGAGGTTCAGGCCCCTGGGCCTCCAGCAACGGCTTAACCACCTCCCTCACTGCACCCCCACCCGGCTCGTAAGGAACACAGAAAACTATTTCAGGCACACAGCACACTTATTTGAATAAGGAAGAGATCTTTTTTTTTTTTTTTTTTTCCTTTTTCTTTTTTTGAGCTATGCCAAGGGCGCAGTGGTTAAGAACAGGGCTTGGGATCAAACAGCCCCAGGCCCGGCCCTGCCTCTCTGGATCTGATTAGCCGAGTGACCCTGGACAAGTTATATACCCTAAGCGTGACACTGTCTAAAAGCGGGTCTAAGATGAGTACAACCAGCGGAAACTCATAATGCAACACAGAGTAAGCAACGCAACGTGCCTGGCACGTAGCAAGTCCTTAGTAGCTCTTAGTTATTTCTGTTATGTCCCCTGTCACTCCTACTCTGTGGCAAGGTCCTTGAGGAGCTAGGTCTTGTTCATTTTATTTCCTAATCTTGGCACACTGCTTGGCACGGGACAGTTCTCAACATAACTCTGTTGAAGGAATAGCCACTATCATCCAACCAGTGAACATTTGCTCAGCCCCCAGGTGCCAGGTGCTATCCTGTGCACTGAAGACGGAGCAGTGAACAAAACAGCAAAGTCCTGGTGCTTTTGCTACCAGGGGAAAACAGCAGCACACGTACAGCTGGACAGAGGGAGAAGAACGAGGTGGGAGTAAGGGGGAGGGCCAGCGGCAGGGGGTGGGTGAGGTTGCTCTGTATGTGGCACAAAGTCTCCGGGAGGTGACATCTGAGCAGACGCTTCAAGGAAGTGAGGGAGCAAACCACACCAACAGGTGCAGGATGCGCTCCAGGCAGAGAGGGGGCGGCAGGTGCAAAGGGCCGGCGGCCGGCACATGTCTGGTGTTTCTGAAGAAGGAGGAGGCCAGTGTGGCCGGAGTGGGAGGAGCGAAAAGGCTTTTCTCTCTTTCTCTCCTTGGTTAAAAATGAACACACGACACAGTTCAGTAATTGAAAAAGATGTATTAAAATATTCACAAAGGTACAATCGAGAAAGGAAAAAAAACAAAAAATTAATAATGAACTTGATGGTTTTTCCCCTAGCCGGATACATTTCCATCGAAACACTACAGGTGGTTTGGAATTCGCACCTCTAATCCCTTCTAGGTGGCCCCCTACAAAAATCACGTGTAACTTTAAAAGGTCTCCTTCTGCCAATAATTGGACACGGAAAAGGCAACTGGGCCAGTGTCCTGTGTGGCCAGGCCCAGGCACGCTGGCAGGCAAGAGGAAGGGCCCAAAAATCCACAGGAGGTTAGGCAAAAGCCCTGCCCCCGAGGCGCTCTACCCCAGTTGCTAGCAGCTTCCTCCAGACAAGCCTGCCCCGCGGACCCAGCGGGGTGGGGGCGCTGCAGCGTGGTGGGGGACTCTCGGCCACCGTGCACGTGCCGACATGACAGCCCGAGGTGTCTGGCCGGGTGGGGAGGGCGCCTGGCCTGGCGGGAGGCAACCTCAGGGGTGGGGGAGGCGGGGCGCGCGGGGCTGGTTCCGGGTGGCAGCTTCACGAGCACAGGGTCCCGGCAAGGAAAGGAAGGAATCGGGACTCCTGCTGTCAGGAGGTGTCAGGAATGTATGCTTTATTCACAGGACCTGTGCAGAAAAAGGAGAGTGGCCCTTTCTCTGTAAGAAGCGACTGTAAGGAACCATTACACGTCGAAAGGCACACACTCGGTCTCTCAACAATTCGTGTTCTTTCTGCCTTAAAAACAGTCTCGGTCACAGCTTCTCACAGTGGCAAAGGTTTGCCAAGAATATTGTTAACTTGGCATCAGTTTGAAGAAGGGTGACAATGCCCGCACCCCCCACCCTCCCCAACACACACACACACACACACACACACACACACACA